ATTATTATTATATTTAAGATCTTGGGATACTTTTGTTTGTAAGGGGATTGTCCTGCATCAGTCCCACTCTGGGCTCGAACAGACTGGCCTCCCTGCTGACCCCTTAACCTGCCTGGAGCAGGAGCACAGGTCACTCCCACCCCTGGCCTCTGGACAGCGGGGTGAAGTGGGTTCCGTCTTATTCCAAAGGGCTTTGGGATCCTTTGAGATGAAACGTGCTGTACAAAGGCACTTATTTTAGAATTGTTAATATTGTAAATAAGGCTTGTGGGGATCTGGAAGAAATTGTCACCAAGTTATTGATCCTGATCCTAGGATCAATTAACTCCTCTATTGTAATAGTTCTAATGCACAGCTCTCATATACCCTGGATCTTAACCACCGGACCAGCTGTCCCCCTGCTGTGACAGTCCCGTATCTTAACCACTGGACAAGTTCATTAATAAAATAATCGTCCCCTTAACAATTATTGTATAAATACCAGAAAGGTCGCTTAATCTAGACTCTTATTTTTCTAACTAGTTAAAGTTTAAAGTAAGTTATTCCACGTGTGACAACTATGAACTTCGCAAAGCCGAAGACGAAAACCCTCCTCTCATTTCATTTCCCGGTGGAACGGCATTTGTGTCTCCTTCCGAGCGGGCAAAGAAGAACCCGCCTCTTACCCCAACAATCAAACCAATCCGATAGGAGTACTTCCGTGATGGACACATGAATAAGCCAATAGAAAGGGGCTACGGAGAGTTTTCATGTGATTGAAGATCACTTTAGCCAATAGGAGCCTCAGCTGGCCCGGAGGCGGTAGTTCCGGAAGCTTGTATAAACCAAGCGGCCTTGCCATGTGTGTTGTTTCAGCGGCGGATTGAGGCTGTTTGGGGTTTGAGCTGAGAGGTGAGAAACGGGAAATTCAGGGTTTAGTTTGTTCCAAGTCGCAGTTTTTCGTTTTGCTGGGGTTGTGGTGTCTCTGGGATTTATTTAGAAGGAGGGTAATTGAAATTTTATTGCGACACTAGTCCACGAATCGTTGTGTTTTTCTGTGCGAGTCGGTGAGAAAGGAGGGGGGACGGCAGTTCGGTTTGCCGGCTTCATTGAGTCCGGTACCTGCTTTTCCGTCCGGGCCGGGCCGGGCCGGGCCGGGCGGGCCGCTCGCAGGAGGGCCGGGGACAGCCGTGAGCAGCCCCGCTGTCGGGGCAGGCCGGCGGGCCGGTGTTGCGGGCCGGCGGAAGGAGCAGACCCGACCTCCCATTGTTCGCTGCGGAGCGTCATGGCAGCTGCAGCCCGGCCGAGCGCTTGCTGTTGTCCCGGGCTCGCCTGCCGCTGCCGACCAGCTGCTGTTTCTCCTCCTCCTTCTCCTTGAAAGGTGACTTGTTCCCGGCGGCGTTGCTCGCCTGCTGCAGGGTGAACAGTGCTTCTGGACGCGTTGCTCCGGGGTCTGGGCCGAGATGCCGAACCGGGTCAGGGGTTGTGACCTCCCGGCGCCGGTGACCTGTGGCTTTTAGCTACAACGTGTTTCGGCGTTTCCGAAAGTCCGTCGTGCGAAGTCGACTTTTGCTACTTAAAACTTTGCCTTTCGTGTTTGAAAGGAACGCTTTAGCAAGAGGTTTTTTGTCTTTCTTCCACGCGTTGCCTTTTCTTTTTAAGGGCGCATTTCTCATTGGTTAAATAAGTATTTGTTTTTTTCCGCGCTCGGGCCTTCGCGGCCCGCTTTCAGTCTTTGTTCGGTTCGGGCAGAGGGCACTTCCTCCCCCGGTCGGGGCGCTCAGGAAAGAGCGGTGCTCGGGCTGCGGCCTGTCGCTTTGTGCCCTCGCCCGGGCCGAGCGGCTCTGCCGTTTTAGAGCCTTTCCTTCGCTTCTGAAACGCGCTGCTGGGGAAGGGTTTATCTGTCCAGGCGTTTCGAGTATCGGTCTTCAGCGCTCGCAGTGGTGTTGAAATCGAAACCCTCCGCGGGCGGGAGGGCGACGGCTGGTGACCTGTCCGGGGGGTCCTGATACTTGTTCTGCAGAAAGTGCTGGACAGGCAGTCAGCCCTCAAATAACCGCCAAGTGAGACTGCTGACGCTGTTGGACGGGTTTTAGACTGTGTAGGGGTCAAGTATAGCCGGCCGGCAGCGCTCTCGTGTGCTGTGTAGACGGGGTGCACTGAGTGGCTTTCAGTGTCTTGAGAGATGATGAGGCCTCTCCTCGCTGGGGCTCAGTGTGTGTCTTGAGCGTGGTGTGGGGATGATGAACTCCTCTCGGTGTGTGTCTTGAGCGTGGTGTGGGGATGATGAGGTCTTCTCCTCGCTGGAGTGCCTGCTCTCAGGTGTGGGGCTCTGCTCTAACGATCTCCTCGCTTGCTGCCCCCTCCCCCCCAGCATGGCAGAGAACGACGTTGAGAATGAGCTGCTGGACTACGAGGAGGATGAGGAGCCGCAGACCGCGCCGGAGAGCGCCGCGCCTGCCGGCAAGAAGGAGGTGAAGGGCTCCTACGTCTCCATCCACAGCTCCGGCTTCCGGGACTTCCTGCTGAAGCCCGAGCTGCTGCGGGCCATTGTGGACTGCGGCTTCGAGCACCCCTCCGAGGGTGAGTGCGCCGCCCCGCTCCGCGGCTGGAGGGGGGGGTGGGGGGATTGTGAATCCCGCGGATCCAGGTGACCCGTCTCTCGTCCTTGCCTCTCCCAGTGCAGCACGAGTGCATCCCGCAGGCGATCCTGGGCATGGACATCCTGTGCCAGGCGAAGTCGGGCATGGGCAAGACGGCCGTGTTCGTGCTGGCCACCCTGCAGCAGATCGAGCCTGTGGACGGACAGGTCAGTGTCCCGGGCCAGCTGTCCATCTGGACACGGCCTCTCCCGTGTGGCCACGAGGGGGCCAAGAGGAGCTGGTCTTCACTTGCAAACCACTGCAGGGGAGCAGGCCAGTGCACCTCTCCACCAGACTCTGTCAGGGCTCGGGTTGGAGACGCAGGCAGCCAGATCACTGGCTGCAAACAGCCGTTTAAGCCACTTCTGTACCAGGAGTGTTTGCAGTAGAGCAGTGTTAAGAGTAAATGGTGCTTCACGTCCACTGCACTTCCTAAATCTAAGAATTACCACCTGGATGATGCTTCAAAGCACCAAGAGGCTACAAAAACATTAAGTAGTCACTCATTCTGAGTGCTGTTACTCTTATCCTCTTAGGTAGTAGGCACCAGTATCCTCTGTCATTGTGTTGACAGCACGTGCTAGAAACTATACATAAAAAAAATAGATAAGGAGAACCCAGTAAAACAACACACAAAAGGATATACTTTTTCATTCATTTATTGATCAAAATGATCCAACATTAAATGTCTTTGTCAGAAGAGGTACGAACCTATGCTTTCAGTTACTGGTGTGACCCCTTTAAGCAGCAGTGACTTCAACCAAACGTTCAGGGTAACTGTTGATCGGTTCCGCACATCGGCTTGGAGGAATTTTGGCCCATTCCTCCTTACAGAACTGCTTCATCTCAGTGATGTTGGCGGACCCGCTTCAGGTCCTGCCACAACAATTCTGTTGGATTAAGGTCTGGACCAAAGTCCAGACCTTAATCCGATAGAATTGTCAAAACGCAAAATTTCTTCTGCTTCAACCATTCTTTGGTTGGGTGACTTATGTATTTAGGGTCGTTGTCTTGCTGCAAGACCCACCTTCTGTAGAGCTTCAGTTCACGGACGGACATGATGTTTCTCCTTTAAGCCAAAAAGTTATTTTCGACTCATCCGTCCACAGAACATTCTTCCAGTAGTTTTCTGGCTCACCCAGGTGGTCTTTAGCGAACTTTGAATGGGCAGCAATGTTCTTCTTGGAGAGTAGTGGCTTCCTCCTTGCTGTCCTCCCATGCACACTTTTCTTGTTCAGCGTTTGCCTGCTGGTGGACTCAGGAACACTGACATTAGCCAGTGTGAGAGAGGCCTGCAGATCCTTGGGCGTTACTCTGTTTGTTGTGATCTCCTGGAATATTAGACGCCTTGCTCTTGGAGTGATTTTTGTTGGATGACCACTCCTGGGGAGAGCAACAATGGTGTGAATTTTCTCCATTTGTACACTATCTGCCTAACAATGGATTGGTGAAGCCCAAGGTCTTTAGAAATCGTTTTGTAACCTTTCCCAGCGTGATGAGCATCGAGAACTCTTTTTCTGAGGTCCTCAGGAATCTCCTTTGATCGGGGCATGGCATGCATTCACAAACCTGTTTGGTGAAGACTAGACTTTGGTAGTGAAGAGGTTTATGCTTTTTAAATAGGGCGCAGCCGCCCAAACTCACACCTGATTGTCATCCCATTGATTGGCACTCCTGACTAATTATCCCCTTAACTGAGCTGATAATCCTAGAGATTCACATACTTTTTCTGACAAAGACATTTAATGTTGGATCATTTTGATCAATAAGTGAATGGAAAAGTATATCCTTTTGTGTGTTATTGGCTTCTCCTTATCTATTTTTATGACTTGGATGAAGATCTGATCACATTTTAGGTGCAGAAATTCTAAAGGGTTCACAAACTTTCTAGCACCACTGTATGTGCGAACATCTCGGTTTTTCTGCACCAAAGTTTTGTTTTGCATCAGTTGTACCCATCTGTAAAGTCGACTGGATGGTTTGTGTACTCGGAGTACGTGCGTCGCACAGACTTTAGCGGCTCGGTGAAGCGAAAGGAAGATTTCCGCAGCACACAGACAGGGAAGCACGTTCTGACAGGCCGGTTCTGTGATTATAGCAGTGACTTCAGCGGTGGTCGGCCATGATCGGCTCCCCCTCCCCCGTCGGGAGGCTGGTGAGGGCCGTGGCGGCCCCCGCGCCCAAGTGTCCGCGGCCATGTTGACGGTGTCCCCTTCTGTCCCCAGGTGGCGGTGCTGGTGATGTGCCACACGCGGGAGCTGGCCTTCCAGATCAGCAAGGAGTACGAGCGCTTCTCCAAGTACATGCCCACCGTCAAGGCGGCCGTGTTCTTCGGGGGGCTGTCCATCAAGAAGGACGAGGAGGTCCTGAAGAAGAACTGCCCGCACATCGTGGTGGGCACGCCGGGCCGCATCCTGGCGCTGGTCCGCAACAAGACGCTCAGCCTGAAGAACGTCAAGCACTTCGTCCTGGACGAGTGTGACAAGATGCTGGAGCAGCTGGGTGAGTGCCGGGGTCGCAGTGGGGTCAGCCACGATGGTGGGAGAAGCGCACACCCCTCTCCACTGGGGAGTTCTGCCGGTGTTTTGCCCCCCAGTTACGTGTCTGAAGGAAGTCTGCAAGCCCGGGCCTTTGATAGCTGTCCCTGAAGTGGCATGTTGCTGTCGTGTGTAGGATTTTGAAGGGGAAGGGCCCTTCTCCTGGATACGACCAGGAATCCAGCTCGCTTTCTGTTGCGCTTCTAGTCTCCTGTTTGTCTGAAGTCCAGGGTTATGGATAGGGTGCCCACCCATTAAATAATCCAGGACGGGACACTCCTGCCTGGACAGGAGCCTTCATGCCGATCGGAAGTCACCCCGGACGTGGGGGCGCCCTGAATCGTGGGAATTGGTTCTCTCGGCCCACAGAGACCTCGGCTCCCTTTTGTGTTTCTTAACATTGGTTAGCTGTTGGAAACTTGGAGCGTCCCATTGACAACAGACACCTGAGCATGTTACACTAATCTATAGCCTGGCTTGGGATTGCAGTCTCCCCCCCCCCCCCTCTCTGCGTTAACCCCTGTCGTATGGCCCTGACACCCCCCCCCGCCCTTCCCAGAGGGATTTAGGAGAGGTGCAGGTACTCCTGGGGATGAGGGGACAAAATGTCCTTCGAGCTCGCTCTGCTCGCAGTCCTGTGCGACCCTCTGGTGGTTGCGGTGGGCGTTGCACTCTGCTTACCTCTCCCTGCCTGTGTGCGTCTGTGCCGCAGATATGAGGCGGGACGTCCAGGACATCTTCCGGCTGACGCCTCACGAGAAGCAGTGCATGATGTTCAGCGCCACGCTCAGCAAGGAGATCCGGCCCGTCTGCCGGAAATTCATGCAGGATGTGAGTGGGGTTGGGGGAGAGGGTGGGCCCGCAGGTCGGGTTGGGTGATCCTGATGGTCCTGCTGTGTGGGAGTGATTGTTGGCAGTGTGTGAGGTGTTGAGGAGTCAGTATTGCAGCCTGGCCACTTCCCTCTGGTTGACCTGCTGCAGCAGCAGCAGCTCGGGCCCTTGAACCTGCAGCCCCCAGGTGACGGCACAGCCCCTTGTGCTAACCTGTGCTCTCGCCTGCCCAGCCCATGGAGGTGTTCGTGGACGACGAGACCAAGCTCACCCTGCACGGCCTGCAGCAGTACTACTGCAAGCTGAAGGACAGCGAGAAGAACCGCAAGCTCTTCGACCTGCTGGACGTGCTGGAGTTCAACCAGGTACTGCAGAGCCGGTCCGGCCCGGAGCCCCGGGGGATTCTGTCTCCGATTGCCCTGCGGTCCAGCTGGGCTGCTTTGGGGCCCCTTCTCGAGCTCTGAACTGGGCAGGAGGGTTCATGGACTGGGGCGCCTTGGCTCAGGCTCATGGTTACCCCACGGGTCACCAGGCCTGAGGCTCAGGCCCTGAACCATCCTGCCCTGCGAGACTGGGGGGGGGACTCGATGCGGGGGGTGCCATTGGGGTAAAAACTGCCCTGGGAGGTACCCCTCTCTGAGCTGAGCGTATCCCTCTCTCTGCGTGGCAGGTGGTGATCTTTGTGAAGTCGGTCCAGCGCTGTGTGGCCCTCTCGCAGCTGCTGGTGGAGCAGAACTTCCCTGCCATCGCCATCCACAGGGGAATGGCCCAGGAGGAGAGGTGAGGCCCGTTCCCAGCTCTGGGATTTACTGACCTTCGCCTGCGCGTGTCGGGGACCGCCGTCAGGAGGGGCCCAGTACAGCTGTCCGAAGGCTGGCACCTCCTTGTGCTCCGTGCTGGAGGCTGGGCCTTGGGCTGCGGTTGTCCCGGTGAGGTCGGGTGGCGGATCCAGGAGGTTCCAGGGCTACAGCGAGAGGCCCTGGCTTGGCCTCACTGGGGACACAGAAACCCTTAGGCCCTCATTCCCAGGAGTTTGGGGGTCCTCAATGTTAATAATGCATTGACTCCATGTGCTTCACAAAAAAATGAGGCCAAAATGGTGCTGTGGCTCGGTGGCTGGAAGGTTGCCGGTTCGTATTCTGCGGCAGACAGAGGAATCCTACTCCATTGGGCCCCTGAGTAAGGCCTTTAACCCCAGCTGCTTCAGGAGCACCGTATAAGTGGCTGACCCTGCGCTTTGACCCCAAGCTTCTCTCATTGGAGAGCAAGTTGGGGTATGCGAAAAGACAAATTCCTAATACACTAAATTGTATATGGCCAATAAAGTGATCTTATCTTAAAGTAGAAGTCAAGGAGCTTGACAACTAAGAAGCAAAAGATTGGTAATTTATCCTTGAAGCAGAGGGGCTTGCTGGTGGAGACGGGTGTTAACGTCCTTTTAAAGGTTTCAGAGTTAGGAGCAGAGAACAAAGGTCACCACAGCTGGTATACAGATAGTTTGTGGGCCCTGGAGCAGATTAAACTGACCTGAACTTAAAGACCAGGATGGAGTCTGAGAGTGGTCAGGAAGGTAGAAGGGAACCTTTGTCTTGTACAGCCTTATTGTCTGGGAGCAGTACTGCTGGATGGGCAGCCAGTGCAGCTGTGCTAGAACAGAGGTGATGGTGATCTGGAGAAGTAGTAATTTTAATTAATGAGCCTGAGGGCAGACCACAGGACTAGTCCTGCAGGTGGTGATCTGGATAATGGAGAGAACCCTTGTCCCCATGCCCCCTGCAGGCTGTCCCGCTATCAGCAGTTTAAGGACTTCCAGCGGCGGATCCTGGTGGCCACCAACCTGTTTGGCCGCGGGATGGACATCGAGAGGGTCAACATCGTCTTCAACTACGACATGCCGGAGGACTCGGACACCTACCTGCACAGGGTGAGCGCGGTGGGGGTTTGGGCGTCCGATCTTCGTCCTGGGGCATCAGTGGGTGTTCCAGCTGCCCCCAAGGGCAGGGCGAGGGTCAGCTGGACCAGTCACGCCTATTAAACGAGCCGATTGAGGTGGTTATGAGCGGAGTGGAAACCTGCAGGTGATTTTACCCCCCCCCCCACTGTGAAATGACAAGAGGTGGGAGAAAATGGATGGGTTTGTCTGAGCAGTTCCTGCTTCTCCCCACCAGGTGGCGCGTGCGGGCCGGTTCGGGACGAAGGGCCTGGCCGTCACCTTTGTGTCAGACGAGACCGACGCCAAGACCCTGAACGATGTGCAGGACCGCTTCGAGGTCAACGTGGCCGAGCTGCCCGAGGAGATCGACATCTCCACCTACAGTGAGTGTCCGCTCGCCCGCGGCCGGGACCGCCGCTGCACCAGGCCTCGCCCGCCCGCGCTGTAACGCTCTCTCCCCGCCGTGTCTCCGCAGTCGAGCAGTCCAGATGAGCCCCTGCTCCTGTGAGGGTCTCCCCAGGACCACCTCCGTTTCTGAAGAACCTCTGAATGTGTTTTACTCTCCTCCCTCCTCCCTCGCTCCCCTCTGACTTCACCAGCGCTGGGGTGGGGGGTGTACGCAGTTTTAATTTTTTTTTAATCGCACTCGTTTTGTTTCCATGAGATTAAAACTGTTTTTTATATGACATGGGTTTACTGTATTGTTTTATTGCCATGTGAAGGCAGGGCTGGTTTCTGGGTGCCTTTCTGTCTCGAGCTACAGCTCAAGATGCGTCTCTTTCATTAAAGCTTTGAGAGAGGTTTGTTTTTAGAGAGGAGCTTTATCGGGTCGCCTGATGCGTTTGTCCAGGAGCTCCTGTGGGCTGAGTTTGGGCCAAGGATCTGAAGTTGTGTGTTGATGGTTGGGGCTACAGTGGTAGAGGGGTGGGGGGCTGTGCTTGGAGCTCTGGACAGGGCAAAGTGTGGCTCAAGTGAGAAGCAGAGGCCGTTTCAGTGGGGGGTGGGATCCTGGGAAGGGGCAGCCCGGGCTGGAGTTTCCTGGGACAAGCTTATTGCCTCTAGGGGGCGCCCCTGTGTGCCGACACGCGCACGCATCTTCTCCGCTGGGTGTCCAGCAGCTGAAGGAGAAAATAGATGTAAGTGAGCTAAAGGTCACCAGTGTCTTGCGATCTTGTAGAAAATAGGGGCTTCTATAAATTCCCCTTTCCTGAAATTGCACAGGGTGCAAACTGAGCCAGGGCTGCGCCAGCGCGGAGCCTCTTAGCCAGGTGTCCGGTATCTGGAGTCTCCTTTCTTCCCGTTCAAACTTAGAAACGGGTCCTGGAAGAGTTTCCTGCGATGGAGGCGAGCTGTTAAAATAGAGCTGGCAGTCCGGCCAGATTACTTGCCAGCTGCTCAGGGTTAAAGCGACACCAATGGCCAGAGTCAAGACGCTGCTCCCTTCTCAAAGAGTTGAAAAGGGCCTTACTGTATGTTTAACTTTATGTTCACATGTAACCTTCACACAGAAGCTCCGATGGGCTGGAGGTGTCATATTACCCTTCTGCTGAGATCCAACTGGCTGGAGGTGTCATGTTAGTGTATAATCTGTCCTGAGCTCCGATTGGATGGAGGTGTGCTCATGCCGTATGACTTATATTGCCCTTGGCCTGAGCTCCGATTGCCCGGAAGTGTACTTGTCTCAGATCTATACTGCCCTCATTCTGAGCTCTGATTGGCTGGAGGAGTCCTGTTGGGGCACTGCGTGCCTCTCCTGGGGTTGATGGTGCTGAAAGTGTGAGGCTGAGTCCCCCACTTCTACGTGTCCAGTTTGGACCACAGCCTGGCCTGGGAAGAGAGGCCCTACTCCTGCTGTCCTCCTTTAATCAAAAACAAAACCACGCCAATGATCAGACCAACTATAAAATTTATTGTTCAACAATTTCAAAAAACTATTATACAGCATACTACCGTAGGGAAACAAAACTAGGCTCCACTTAAGAGGCACAGAAGCCTGTGCACCTGAGAGGAGGATCTCTCCTGTGACTGACCAGTCCCTGGGACGGTTTGACAGTGGGGTCACTGCAGCACAGGTTCCAGGACCCAGGACACTCTTGCAAGGTTAATTAAGGACAGAATCGTCGCACAGCGACAACTCCACTGGTCTCTCGGCCAACATCAAGGCATCTTCACAAGTTTCCTCCGTCGGCAGCAGACGGACGCACACAGTACAGACAGCTACGCTTCGCAATAACCCAGGAGACAGACAAACACGCTCCCACTTGTCTGCCTGCTGTAACACACAAGGCGGCTGCCTCCCGAATCCAGACTGCAGCTCTGGGGCTGGTTGAGAAACGAGCCCGGTCCGGAGGCGCGGGAGGCAGGGCGATCCGATCCGGAGCGGCAGGAAGGAGGAAGGATTCGAGACTGACCACTCTCGTCCAGCGCAGTGTCTCCCGGCACGGGGAGGGGCGCTAGCTGCCGCGGACCCCCCCGCGCGGTATCATCCCTCGGCCCGGCGTGGAAGCGGATCAGAACAGCAGTGTTCGGATCACCGAGGCAGTCATGCGATGCAGGCAGAGCCGAGCGGACAACGGGGCCGTGGCCGGGCCCCGACTGCCGTCCGGTGGGGTCCGTCCCCCTGTCCCTGCAGAACCGGCGCCACACGGCCCGGGTCCGGTGAGGCGTGGATTAGTCGGCGAACTTGTGCGTGTCCCCCTGCAGCCAGTGCCGGGGCCGCAGGGCCACGTCGTTCAGGGGGCCGCACTCGAAGCTGCACTTGCAGGACTGCACCATCATGACCGCCCTCTCGAAGCGCTCGCCGTCCGGGCAGACGAAGAGCACGGCCAGCGTCCGCGTGCGCTGAGGGGCGCAGCACCGCCCGTCCACGCACTGACCACACTGATTGGGCCGGAAGAGACGGGCACTGCGGCATCCAGCGTAGGACAGCCTGAGGGGCTCTGGGGCCTTCTGGGTACGAGTGCAT